CAGTGGAGGAGCCAGTGACAGTGGCGGCACCTGACTTCCGGGAATCCTTGGTGGTTCTGGTTTACCAGAACACCAAGAAGATGGTCACAGTGACCACGATGGAAAACGCGGTGGCACAGGCAAGGGATCTCTTTGACCTGGAGGAGCAGGAGGTCGTGCTTACCTACCTAGGAGCGGAATTAACACGATCGGTGAAGATGGAGTTGCTGCCTGCCATGACAGAACTCGTGGTCGTTGTGAAGGAGTGAATGTACAGCATCGGTGTATTTAGAACTCCATGAAAGGATTTTGTTTTTTTTGTTGGCTTTAGCCTCCGCTTCCTGTCTGGAAGCTGTACTCCACAGGATTTGAAAGCCAGGCCAGTGTACAAATTGTACAATAGTAGAATAGTGTTGGACATTTTTTATATTATCGCCATATTGAAGAACGGTATTGGTGTATACTTCGTTTTTTGTGGTCATGGTTTTCCCTTTTTGTTCCATGCTGGAACAGGTGCTTTGATATAATTATGGGGATTTAGTAGAATAGTAGTACGTAGCTTAGATTAATTGGAAATTCGAGGGGAGATTAATGAACTGGCGATTACAGATATCTATGTATATTTTGATTATTGGAAATATCTTTTGTTTTGTGTGTTTTTGAAATATTGTATATGCAATCAATAATTAGGACGATTCTGGGTTGGACAACATCATTTATATCCATTATGTATTGGACTCAGTTCTTAGCAAGAACAGTGAGCTATCGTCTCATGGTGAGATGTTTCCAGGACTAGGTCTTGAGGGGTTGCTTGCACCTATGGCCGGTGCGGAGTTGTAGCTCAGAGTTATAGTGGTTAAGGGAAAGGAAAGATGAGTGAAAATTTTTTTTTAATTAATTTTTTTTTTTAGTTGTCCAATGCCGAGTTGTCTATAGTGATTTTTATATGCCATGTTTTTAGGGAAAGGTTAAAGTTTAATTAGAAACCCCATACCCAGGGAAAAGGGGGGGGGTGGATTTTAAACAGCAAGTTTTATGATATTTGCTGGGTTAGATAACCCATTCGTAGGTTATGTTAAGAATTAAGGATTTTGACTTTTTATGAAATAGGGGCGTCTTCAGTTGTCAGGCCTTTGTCGGAACTTACAGTTCCTCCTTTTTAGGAAGGAGGGGGTGTTGTATCTTTACCCTAAGCCCTGGGTTCTCCAAGCTAGGAGCAGATAACTGACACCAGTGGGCCTCTTGATGGATGCAGCTGAGGACGGAGTCTGCGCACGCCTGCAGCGCCCTCTTGCGACTGACCTTCGAAGTGAAGAGACGTTACCCACGAAGAGACAGCATCAACGCCCGATAATAGAGGTAATTACAGTAATAGAGCCTTCTCTTGTCATATATCATAAGTCCAGGTCGGGTCCTTTCAGGGGAAATAGTCTTTCCCGAGACGAACACCACATTATTACAGTTGGTCTCTTGATGTAATCTGGGATAATGACTGATGCTTCTCCATGCAGGATCTTATAGAGGAGTATAAGCCTGGCTCCTTGTCTGCGTGTTGCTAGTGTTGGCCAGCCAAGTGTCTGTAGGATGTTGGTTACAGAACCTGGTTCCCGAGAATAGGTTGTTGTAGATCTAGTCGGTTGAATTATGTAATGACAAAGCATACAATATTTGGATACTTAAATTGTAAATAAAATTTAGCTTCTGTTTATCTATCTTGATAGTAATTTGTGTTGTCATCTATCTAAAGCACGTGAATAAAGTAAAATCACACAACAATATTGCACTTTTGATGAGTTGGTAGCGGAAAAGTCACGACAACAACCTAACTTCCGGCTGGTTTTGTTTAATAAACAGAAGTACTCCAGTTGCTCCGTTCGATAGCCAATGGTCAGAGATATTTTGAATGAGGAAGGTTTTATTTTGGGAAACTATTATAATAACAGTTTTATTTAACATTCAAATACCAAACCTGTTTTCGCAAATTAGAACATTCTTAAAACTTATATCTGTTATGATTATTTAAAAGAAAAATCTATATGTAATATGAATTGTAACTGAACCTTGTGAAAACACTGTTTATTCTAAACTAAAGATAATGTTATTTATAGCGGGGAAATCGTGTCATTCTATAATGGGCATAAAATATGACTTGTACTCAGAGGCGTATTAAGTGTGGGACAGGGGTCCCGGTCCCTTTGTAGGAAAATTCGTTTGACTAACTAAGTTATTTAGGGATCAGTGAAGCATGACTGGAGTGGGACCCCTCTTGGCCACTACCACCCCCTTTATCAAAATTTCTGGAACCTTTCTGGTACTGCATACATACTTTTATCATCGGTACTTTATATTTTTCTCCTTTGCTTTGTTTTTACTTTTATATTCCGGCTCTGCGCTCAATTTAACTGCTTTTTTCAGTGTTGCTATCATGAGTACTGTGACATCTTGTTTCACTTAATAATGCTTTCATATTGATATGCATTTTAATTTATTTGCATGTCTTAAATTGTTTACATGAATTGTATACGCCTTTTATTTGTTCGTTGGTAAAAAGTTGTACAGAGCTTACATTATTATAGGTTTATAATGTACCAAATTTTATTTTTCTCAATTAACCTTGTTATGTTTTATAGTCTCACTTATGGGTACTTATTGGTCATCCCTAATGACCGACTTGTTTTGTATTTCTGTGAAGCAGAATTCCTACAAAACATTTCAAAGATAATAAATTGCTTCGCCGAGCGCAGCTAGATACGACCGTGGAGGTCCTACCATGAACAGTTGGGGCAAAAATGGACACAATATTCGCGCTTGGGTCTGAATATGGATTGTAATTAAATATTTGACACATAATAGGATTCTGACAGAGAATAACTGTAGTCAAGGAACTTAGAATTGGTTATATGTTTCAATTTATTAATTTTTTTGGCTTATATGCAATACACTATGCTGTTGCGAATTGACCCCCCTACCCAAAAAAATACACCCCTTAAGCTTTCTGTTGCGTATTGACCCCTCATTTTTTTTGCTCTTGTGCAATACACTATTATGCTGTTGTTTATTGACACCTCCCCTTTTTTTTGGCAAAAATAAATTATATTTAAAGAAAATGTCTTTTTAATTTCTGAAATTTCTGTAATCTAAAATTTAAAATTTAAATAGAATTTGCAACCATAATTACCCATTTAAATACATCCTAAAATTCTTTTTTAAAACAGTTAGTTCTCTCTTGATGGCTGTATTTTTGACATTTTCACTTGTTATGTCTGTTTGATTTGTTCACACATCGTTGTCAATATAATGGAATTTGATGTGACTGTCATACAAGTGAGAGGTTTAGCTAGTTATAAAAGCAGGCTCAATCCACCATTTTCTACATAAGAAAGTGCCTGTACCAAGTCAGAATATGATAGTTGTTATCCATTCATTTCATGTGTTTGAGCTTTTGATTTTGCCATTTGATTAGGGACTTTCCGTTTTGAATTTTTCTCAGAGTTTAGTATTTTTGTGATTTTACTTTTTTCTAAAAACAAATTGGCAGCAAATCACCTCAAGACAATACATTTCGTTATACATGATTTAAAAGTAGTGTAAGGGATGTAATTCAAACGTAACATTCATGTACTTAAATAAGTAATAGTCCATCAAACAGGAAATCATTGTTTTCCCCCTTTTTTGCCCCTAATTCCTAATTGGTTTAAGCTATAACCCTCAAAAGCCAATCCTAACCATCCTTTTGAGGAATGGAAAATCGTGGTATAATTTCAGAGAGATCCATACAATGTTCCACAAGTTATTGTCTGGAAACTAGAAAAATGTTTTTTTGGGCCCCTTTTTGCCTTCTTAAATCCCTAAACTGTTGGGACCACAACCCCTTTAATCAACCCCAACCTTTCTTGTGTGGTTATAAACCTTGTGTTCAAATTTCATACATTTCTATTTACTGATACTAAAGTTATTTAATTATTTAATGTAAATTTGAAAATAATTGATAATCATTATGAATGTCAAAAGTGTATATTTAATTTTGAAGTGTTTTGGTTGTGTTGATAAAAAAACATGTTGCAAAAAAAGACTAGATGTGTCGAAACGACACGAATGGCCCTGTCTCAAAAAGTTGAAAAATCTGCAATTTCAACAACACATGTGAACACAAACATGATGGTAGTCTCACATATCAAAATTCTGCTCAAAATCTTCAGGCTTTAAAAAACTCCATTTAACTGTGATTTTCGACCATTTATCAAAGTTCAAAGCCTGTAATTTTGGGGGAAATTAGCAAAGCGGAACTAAACATAAACTTGATCTGTAACTCATCATGGTTAACTCACATACCAGAAATCAGCCCAATATCTGAAGGCGTTTAGAAAAAAACCTGTATAACTGTGATTTTCAACAATTTATCGAAGTCCAAAGCCCGTAATTTCGGCAAAAATAGTAGAGCAGGACAAAACTCAAACTTGATCTGTAACTCATTATGGTTAACTCACATACCAAAAATCAGCCCAATATCTGAAGGCCTTTAGATATAAACTGTTTTTCAACAATTTATCGAAGTCCAAAGCCTGTAATTTTGGCAAAAATTAGCGGACCAGAACGAAACTAAAACTTCATCTAAAACTCATCATGGTGAACTCACATACCAAAAATCAGCCTAATATCTGAAGGCATTTAGAAAAAAAGCCCATATAATGGTTTGTTACGGAATGATGGAATGACAGAATGATGGAAAGATGGATTGACGGAATGATGGAATGACAGACAAGGGTAAAACTATATGGCCCCGACAGCTTTGTTGCGAGGCCATATTTGTTGCGGGGCCATAAAAAGCTTCATCATGTGTAATTACTAGTTCATGAAGATCAAAAATGTTCTCAACTTGGAAGAAAAACACAGCACTTGGTATCATTCCAACATGAACTGTACAGAAGCTGCTGCTTAATTTGATGAAAAGCCACAACTCTATCTAGCTACTGAGAAGTGCTACAATATTTATATATAAGCAGCACATAAACAGTAACAAGAAAGGCTGTTAACCTGTGAACTTTTAGACGACAGCAATTTCTCTATATTTAAACTTATCAGATTGATGTAGAAAACAGAAACTACATGAGACAAAACAGAACCTATACTTCCAGACCAGTACACCCTGCCCTTACTATGAAATCACATTCTCTCACAGATTAACTCCCTCTCTATATTCCACGCACAATCATATACCCTCACCCTCTCCATCATTCTATTTTTCTCCCTCCCTTTCTCACCCTTTCACCCTATCATAACACCCTTAGCCACCTACCACCTAATACCCCTTCTGCTTCGTGTTAAGTCCCTATGAGAAAATTGGGTTAGTAGATAAATACGATATTATAAGATGTACCAGATATGGAAGATCTTAAAATTTTAGAAATGTGAAGGAAATTTATAACTGATTGATATCAAACATAAATATATGAACCTGAGCCACTTTTAGAAATGTAGTCTTATTTTCTACACATAATGGTCATCATAGCATTCGTACAAAAGATTAACAGCCAACGTTACAGAAAGCCAAATTGTGTAATGTAAATTTGAAAATAGAATGCTGTTTTGATTGATAAACATTATGGAGGCCAAAAAGTATATATCCCACTCTTAATTTTGAAGTGTTTTTGGTGTGTTGATTACAAAATATGTTGAAAAAAATGAAAACATAAATGAAAATTGCCAAATGGTATAAATCCAAAGAGTTCAAAAACACATAAAACAAAAAGCCAAATGAAAAATGCCAAAGTTTAAAAATGCCAAATGGTATTAAAAATACCTGTCTGCTTGTACTAGCCAGCCGGCCTGTGGGTTAGCTGGACTTTAAGGTGCTAGTTCACCAAGACAAATGCCCACAGTAGGTCACCTATCTTTTCCTTTTGGAGTACCAGTTTTTAAGTCTTTGATTTGACTTGGGGGCTCAACATTTAACTAAAAAAAGATAAAAAAAAAAAGGTCTCCTGTATAAATTAAAATTTGGTCTTAAAAAGTAAAATATTCCCTTTGTCCCCCACACCCAAATGGATAAAATAATGTAAAAAGTCCCTAATTTCCCAAATAATCATAAAATGACCTGCCTCAACTTATAAATTTGGATAAAAACAGTAAAATATCTCCAATTAAAATTTAGATAAATACAGTAAAACATCCCTAATTAAAATTTAGATAAAAACAGTAAAATATCCGATTAAAATTTGGATAAATGCAGAAAAATATCCCCAATTAAAATTTGGATAAAAACAGTAAAATATTCCCAATTAAAATTTGGATAAAAACAAATAAAATACTTTTTCCCCCTTAAAAGCATGTTACAGAGCTTCACATGCAGACTGAGCCACCTCACTCTCAGTTTGTTCCAGTAAAAACAATAAAATATCCCCAATTAAAATTTGGATAAAAAACAGTAAAATATCCCCAATTAAAATTTGGATAAAAACAGTAAACTATCCCCAATTAAAATTTGGATAAAAACAAATAAAATACGTTTTCCCCTTAAAAGCATGTTACAGAGCTTCACATGCAGGCTGAGCCACCTCACTCTCAGTTTGTTCCAGTAAAAACAATAAAATATCCCCAATTAAAAATTTTGATAAAAACAGTAAAATATCCCCAATTAAAATTTGGATAAAAACAAATAAAATACTTTTTTCCCCTTAAAAGCATGTTACAGAGCTTCACATGCAGGCTGAGCCACCTCACTCTCAGTTTGTTCCAGTAAAAACAATTAAATATCCCCAATTAAAAATTTTGATAAAAACAGTAAAATATCCCCAATTAAATTTGGATAAAAACAAATAAAATACTTTTTTCCCCTTAAAAGCATGTTACAGAGCTTCACATGCAGACTGAGCCACCTCACTCTCAGTTTGTTCCAGTAAAAACAATAAAATATCCCCAATTAAAATTTGGATAAAAACAGTAAAATATCCCCAATTAAAATTTGGATAAAAACAAATAAAATACTTTTTTCCCCTTAAAAGCATGTTACAGAGCTTCACATGCAGGGTGAGCCACCTCACTCTCAGTTTGTTCCAGTAAAAACAATAAAATATCCCCAATTAAAATTTGGATAAAAACAGTAAAATATCCCCAATTAAACTTTGGATAGAAACAAATAAAATACTTTTTTCCCCTTAAAAGCATGTTACAGAGCTTCACATGCAGACTGAGCCACCTCACTCTCAGTTTGTTCCAATAAAAACAATAAAATATCCCCTATTAAAATTTGGATTAAAAACAGTAAAATATCCCCAATTAAAATTTGGATAAAAACAGTAAAATATCCCCAATTAAAATTTGGATAAAAACAAATAAAATACGTTTTCCCCTTAAAAGCATGTTACAGAGCTTCACATGCAGACTGAGCCACCTCACTCTCAGTTTGTTCCAGTAAAAACAATAAAATATCCCCAGTTAAAATTTGGATAAAAACAGTAAAATATCCCCAATTAAAATTTGGATAAAAACAAATAAAATACGTTTTCCCCTTAAAAGCATGTTACAGAGCTTCACATGCAGACTGAGCCACCTCACTCTCAGTTTGTTCCAGTAAAAACAATAAAATATCCCCTATTAAAATTTGGATAAAAACAGTAAAATATCCCCAATTAAAATTTGGATAAAAACAAATAAAATACTTTTTTCCCCTTAAAAGCATGTTACAGAGCTTCACATGCAGGCTGAGCCACCTCACTCTCAGTTTGTTCCAGTAAAAACAATAAAATATCCCCAATTAAAATTTGGATAAAAACAGTAAAATATCCCCAATTAAAATTTGGATAAAAACAAATAAAATACTTTTTTCCCCTTAAAAGCATGTTACAGAGCTTCACATGCAGGCTGAGCCACCTCACTCTCAGTTTGTTCCAGTAAAAACAATAAAATATACCCAATTAAAATTTGGATAAAAACAGTAAAATATCCCCAATTAAAATTTGGATAAAATACTTTTTTCCCCTTAAAAGCATGTTACAGAGCTTCACATGCAGGCTGAGCCACCTCACTCTCAGTTTGTTCCAGTAAAAACAATAAAATATCCCCAATTAAAATTTGGATAAAAACAAATAAAATACTTTTTACAATTAAAAGCATGTTACAGAGCTTCACATGCAGACTGAGCCACCTCGCTCTCAGTTTTCCCCTTAAAAGCATGTTACAGAGCTTCACATGCAGACTGAGCTACCTCTCTCTCAGTTTGTGCCAGGAATAGCAAAAAATATTTTGACTGAGCCATCGCACATCAGTCAAACTGAGCCACCTCACTCTCAGTTTAACGTACCAGTAAGAATGGATACTTGATACGTATGATGGGGGACGTTCCTATACCTAAAAGGGAGGTATAGTATCTGTGAACCCCAAACACAGAGCGCGGCTTAACTTCGTCATACGTATACACAAGTATCCAATGCTAACTGATACATAATGTTGTCATGTTTTTCATGTCAGTCACTGAAAATAATTTTTATAAATGTTACAACTGAAATAATAACAAAAACCTTGATTCCAAGTTGCCTGTGGTAAGAAGTGAAATAATATCAAAAACCTTGATTCCAAGTTGCCTGTGTTAAGAAGTGATATAACTTCTCTGTAAAATATATCTAGTTTTGAAATTCTTGATGGTTTTCTTAAGGATTGAAGAACATGTGGCATTCCGGTAAACACAGTGTTACAGCAACTCAACTATAAAGTAAAACCAGAAAGATAAGAAAATGTAAAAAGTTGAGGTCTGGAGCTGGCATGTCAGTAACTGCTAGTAGTCTGTTGTTATTTATGTATTATTGTCATTTTGTTTATTTTCTTTTGTTTCATATTCTGACATCGAACTCAGACAACTCTTAAACTGAGTTTCACTGTGCATATTTTTGTGCGATTTTTTTTTCTACATTGGCTAGAGGTATAAGGGGAGAGTTGAGATCTCAAAAAAACATGTTTAACCCCGCCACAATTTTGTGCCTGTCCCAAGTCAGGAGCCTCTGGCCTTTGTTACTCTTGTATGATTTTCAATTGTAGTTTCTTGTGTATAATTAGTTTAGTATGATGTCCATTATCACTGAACTAGTATATATGTTTAGGGGCTAGCTGAAGGACGCATTAGGGTGCGGGAGTTTCTAGCTGCATTCAAGACCCATAAGGGGCCTTCAGCTGTTGTCTGCTCTATGGTCGAGTTGTTGTCTCTTTGACACATTCCCCATTTCCATTCTCAATTTTAGTCTTTAATCATTACTTTTTCAAATTATGACTTGGATTAAGAGTTGCCTTATTGGCACTCATACCACATATTCTTATATCTATTTAACAATGACTTGTTCTTAAGTGGAAAGTCATTTTACTATTTATTCGAATTTCAAGATATCTCATATAATATATAAGATATGTTATATAATATATAAGATATCTAATATATGATATCTTATTTAATGTATAAGATATCTTATTTAATATATAAGATAGCTTATAATTTTATTTTTATACAATATCTTATATATCAAATGAGATATCTTATATATTATATAAGATATCTCATAAAGTATATAAGATATATTACATACTTTATAAGATATCTTCTGAATTTTATAAGATATCTCATATAGTTTAAAAGATATTTTATAAATTTTATGAGATATCTTAACAAGAGTGCACACGCTGAAATGTCTCGCCTTCTTTACTAATCATTTATATTATGTTGATAGTCCTAAATATAAAGCTTTATTACAACTGTCACATAAACTTAACAGTAACCAAGTAAACTAAACATTGACCAATGAACCATGAAAATGAGGTCAAGGTCAGATGAACCATGCTAGGCAGGCATGTACAGCTAACAATTCTTCCATACACCAAATATAGTTGACCTATTGTTTATAGTTTAAGAAAAACAGACCAAAACACAAAAACTTAACACTGAGCAATGAACCTTGAAAATGAGGTCAGGGTCAAATAAAACCTGCCTGACTGACATATAGATCATAAAATATTTCCATACACCAAATATAGTTGAACTATTGCATATAGTATTAGAAAAAAAGACCAAAACTCAAAAACTTAACTTTGACCACTGATCCATGAAAATGAGGTCAAGGTCAGATGACACCTGCCAGCTAGACATGTACACCTTACAATCATTCCATACACCAAATATAGTAGACCTATTGCATACAGTATAAGAAAAACAGACCAAACACAAAAACTTAACGCTGAGCAATGAACCTTGAAAATGAGGTCAAGGTAAAATAAAACCTGCGTAACTGACATATAGATCATAAAATATTTCCATACACCAAATATAGTTGAACTATTACATATAGTATTAGAAAAAAAGACCAAAACTCAAAAACTTAACTTTGACCACTGAACCATGAAAATGAGGTCAAGGTCAGATGACACCTGCCAGCTAGACATGTACACCTTACAATCATGCCATACACCATTTATAGTTGACCTATTGCATATAGTATTAGAAAAAAAGACCAAAACTCAAAAACTTAACTTTGACCACTGAACCATGAAAATGAGGTCAAGGTCAGATGACACCTACCAGTTGGACATGTACACCTTACAATCATTCCATATACCAAATATAGTAGACCTACTGCTTATAGTATCTGATATATGGACTTGACCACGAAAACTTAACCTGGTTCACTGATCCATGAAATGAGGTCGAGGTCAAATGAAAATTGTCTGACGGGCATGAGGACCTTGCAAGGTACACACATACTAAATATAGTTATCCTATTACTCATAATAAGAAAGAATTAACATTACAAAAAATGTTGACTTTTTTTTCAAGTAGTCACTGAACCATGAAAATGAGGTCAAGGACATTGGATATATGACAGACGGAAACTTCGTAACATAAGGCATCTATATACAAAGTATGAAGCATCCAGGTCTTCTAGCTTCTAAAATATAAAGCTTTTAAGAAGTAAGCTAACCCTGCCGCCGCCGTAGCCGCCGCCGCCGGATCACTATCCCTATGTCGAGCTTTCTGCGACAAAAGTCGCAGGCTCGACAAAAACTATATGAGATATCTTATAAACTATATAAGATATCTTATATAATATGTGAGATATCTTATAAAATTATATGAGATATCTTATATAGTTAATGAGATATCTTATATAGTTAATGAGATATCTTATATAGTTAATGAGATATCTTATATAGTTTATATTAAAGATATCTTATATAGTTTATAAGATATCTTATATAGTTTATTAGATATCTTATATAGTTTATAAGATATCTTATATAGTTTATAAGATATCTTATATAGTTTATTAGATATCTTATATAGTTAATGAGATATCTTATATAGTTTATATCATTTGCATTCAAGGATAGTTATTCTCATTGGCAACCCTTCCATATATCCTTATTTTTTATATGGTTGAGAAATAAATGTTGTTTCCTGTGTGTATAACCCGTGCATTGAGTTGCACTTTCAGGCTAAAAATAGACTTGATAAATTTCTGGCAGCACATCTATCAAGAATTAGCATATGACAATTTATTCTGTTATAAGTTTCAAGAAAGAAAATAAAAATTTGTCTATCTTTTATGTTGTTTTTGTTTATTCTAAACATATAAAACATTTTCATAATTCATTTAAATGAGCAAAAATTCTTCAATTCATACCAAGAATGTACCATTTTAAACAAATTCTACTGAAATCTGAAGAATACCGTACAAGTTCTTCAAGTCTTTAATTGCATACAAATGTTTGTCACAGACTATTATCTGCCTTGTAAGTGTTCATATGAAAAATACCACATTTAGGTCATACAAATGCTAGTCCAGATAACATCCATGTAGTCTTTGAATTATTTGATTATTGTCTCATTTCTGTTAAGGATTCACTTCTAATACAATTGACCTTGTTCAAAGATGACGTGTTGACAACTCCTCTTCAACCAAATTGCTTGTTCTGAACTTCTCTCAACATACTGAAAAGTAAAAATAAGATTTATTATCCCTAAAGTATGCATGTTTAAGTTTAATCAGCCATTCATATGTAAAGTTTAGTTTAATCAATTTTGAATAATTGGTAAATGATAATAAAAAAGATGTGGAATGATTGCCAATGAGACAAATCTCAACAAGAGACCAAATGGCACAGAAATTAACTACTTTAAGTCACAGAACATGGTCATAGATAAAAGGCTCCAAAATTACCATAGTAAAATAATTCAAACAAGAAAACTAATGGCCTGATACAAGTACAAAACTAGAGGCTCTAAAGAGCCTGTGTCGCTCACCTTGGTCTATGTTCATACTAAACAAAGGACATACATAATAGATGAGAATAGAATTCATGACAAAATTATGTTTTGGTGATGATGATGTTTTTTGTCAATCTTACTTTACTGAACATTCTTGCTGTTTCGATTTTCTCTATCTATAATGAACTTGGCTCAGTAGTTTCAAAGGAAAATATTTTGTAAATAAAATGCTCTGCTGGGCGCAGCTTGATATGACCGCAGAGGTCAAACCCTGAACAGTTGGGGCAAGTATGGACACAACATTCAAGTTTGATACAGCTCTGAATTTGGATTGTGATTAAATATTTGACACAGCATAGGTTTCTGACACAGAATGAATGTGGTCTGAGAACTTAAATTTTTTTAATTTACCTAGTATGGTCCAATATCCAAAATCTAAATACATGGTTAGATTCAGCATATCAAAGAATCCAAAGAATTCAATTTTTGATGAAATCAAACAAAGTTTAATTTTGGACCCTTTTGACCTCAATGTGGACCAATTTGATAACAGGGCCCAAAAATCAAAATACATGGTTAGATTTAGCATATCAAAGAACCCCATATATTCAATTTTTGTTGAAATCAAACAAAGTTTAATTTTGGACCCCAACTTGGCCCAACTTGAAAACTGGGCCCATAATAAAAAATCTAAACACATGTTTAGATTCAGCATATCAAGAACCCCAAGAATTCAATTTTTGTTAAAATCAAACTAAGTTTAATTTTGGACCCTTTTGGACCTTAATGTAGACCAATTTAAAAAACAGGACCCAAAATTAAAAATCTAAATACACGGTTAGATTTGGCATATCAAAGAACCCCAATAATTCAATTTTTGATGAAATAAAACAAAGTTTAATTTTGGACCCTTTTGACCTCAATATGAACCAATTTGATAGCGGGGCCCACAAATAAAAAATCTAAATACATGGTTAGATTCAGCATATCAAAGAACCCCATATATTCAATTTTTGTTGAAATTAAACAAAGTTTAATTTTGGACCCCAATTTGGACCAACTTGAAAACTGGGCCCAAAATCAAAAATCTAAATACATGTTTAGATTCAGCATATCAAGGAACCCCATATATTCAATTTTTGTTTAAATCAAACTAAGATTAATTTTGGATCCTTTGAACCTTAATG